AGAGATAATAGGACGAAATTCATCATCTTCCATTAGGATATCAATACTTGTCTTTTCCAAAAATACATAACAGTCGAAATACTACAATACGAAAATTTTCCCATTTAAAGAGGTGGTAAGATTGAGCAAGGGATACTTTGACTTAAGTTATTAAACCTTTAGTAGGAAGTAAATCATGGCTTTTAGTCCCGAAATTACTGAAGGTGCGTTCAATTTATGAATGATGAGAATATTCTTTGACCAGTAATTCCATTTGAGCCAGTAAACATGTTCGTGTTTTCTCAAACTGTAAAAAAGCTTATTTAATTACGAAAAGTGATAACTTGAAAGAATGATGAAGACGTGGAGTTTCGAACATTCCGATTATCTCGTTAGCAGGTTTACTTCACCCTCCCGATTTCACAAGGTCACCTAAAAATACGCTAGAGCCCAATATATACAACAGTTTTTTAAATATGAAGAAAATGGTAATTGAAAAGGAATTTCTTAATGTGGTTAAGTGTTTAATTTTCGTTAGGTTTCTTGTTACAGTTAGAAATTACTGTTGGAATTTTTATAAGGCACTATGTATATTAAAAGTACCTGACAATCATTCCTATTTATAACCCCCCACCGACATGCCTTGAACCCTTAATCACCTTTAACGCATCCAGAGGGCTAATTACATTTTGCGTAATATATCTTATAGGAATTTCCTCGTGTTTATACTTGGTTCAAAAATAAAAAGTGGTATAAAACCTTTGGACATCAATTGGTAGCCGCCGATTTAGCACTATAAAAGGTCGTCTTGCCGCAGTGGCAACATTAAAAATTGATAGCCCACGTGCCAACATAGAAATGCCCTCATATCAAGGCAATAGATGATCAATCTCGAAATGTTCTAACGATAAGTGGCTGAATTTATTTCATTTGCATGAAATTGACTCTAACTACATAGAGACATAGTAAAGCGGATCAATAAGAGGATTCTGGAAATTTATAAATGCTTTTAAACGAATTTTTATTTAAATAAATGAGGTTTTTCTATCTCACGGAAGTTGCTAGAAATTAGAAAACTATGCATAAGTATTTACTTTTGGGAATAACCAATCCAATGGATAATTATCATCCACTAACCCAGGAATGTAAGTCATTTCCCCAATAAGTGTCAAAAATATTAATTTGTAATTTATCTTGGGATCAAAATAAATGTAGAATAAATAGGTGATGATAAGATGAGTGGAAAAAGTAGCTAAAATTGTACATTTTCGTTTTATTCTTTTATGGCGATGGTTATACATTTTTTTCTTATTGCATTACTACTACGATCTTTTCAATATTCTCAAACTGTCTCAGGTAGCAGATATAGTCCAGCAGCTAGCGGTTGGAAAGGTTATATATTGGCAATAGAATGCAATGGCAATACAGGGTATGTGTAAAAAAACCAATAACTTAATTAGTCCTTTATGTGACTTCAAGCCTCACAGAGGAGAAGAAATATCGAAGTGAAAAAATTTCGAGAGGGGGGGGGGGAAACGGTAGATTGTTTCAGAGATGTAAAAGTGGCAGACATAAAGGTAGAAAAAAGGTGACGTGAATACTGTAGAAGTAGTCGAATATGACATACAGTGAGGTAATATTAGTTTGAAGCCAGAAGTCAAATGCCGAGCGATAGACTTTTTTGCCGTATGAGTATACGTTACCCAGGGTGCACCACGAGGAAGTAAGTCTATCACACACCCCTGATATAATAAGATAAGTAGTAATATTAAAAGATATTTGCAAACGAAAAAAAATTTATTGAGGAAAAGGTCACAATGGAATAAATTTAAAAGCAATGATTCTCATGCATTGGATTCTTAATTATCTATCTTTTAAATTCACATAAAGCAAACGTACATATTTTCTTAACAATCGTAAATATAGTATAATCCAACACTCAATAGAAACATAGATCTATTCCATGATGCCATGATTAGATTAGATTTAAAAATATATACATGAAAATGCGACTTTAAGTTTAAAGTTGAGAATTATACACTAATTTCTTCAATAATCTTGGTGATATCGATTATGTTTAGCATTAATGGATATCAATTAAATATATTACAATAGGGAAAATAAATAGAAATAATGTAAAGAAACGATGATGTTCAAAGTCATATTTTCCTTTCAATGCCCTTAATTTATAAGGAGATGAAAAGCGTAGAAGAAATAGAAAGAATTATGCTGTAATTTGTGATATATTTAGCTAATAAAAAGAAACAAATCTTTCGAGATATTAAAATGGATATCAATCTTAGCCTTTTATTAAATAATCTTGTAGACGACTCAGTAAAATATACATAATTGTTTACTAAAAATAAATGAATGAACACAATTGATGGATACATCTTTTAATGAATCAACAACCAGTCTCAAGGTTGAGTTTCTTGGCATGTTTTTGTCGATCTCGGCCATTGATGTCCGGCAATAGATCTGCTGTTATCGATAAAAGTCTCAATACGAATAATATCGGATTATGTCCGAGAAACCTAGTTCATCAGTAAAATGTGTACTAATCGGAGAAAGTGGCGTCGGTAAAACTAGTCTTGTTGTCAGTTATACTAAGGATGATTATCCTGTTCGCCACGAACCGACAGCATTTGATACCTATGTTGGTAAGCATTCTGTTATTTTTTAAGTTAAAAGAATTTTGTACAGCCATTGTGGTTAGATTTTCAATGCAACTTGTTATCATATTTATGTACTAATGAACTCACGAAAAAAACGGTTTGTCTAAGTCAAACCAGATTTCGTTACTAATCTAGTACTATTGACTTTAGTTAACTCTGTTTTATTTTCCATCTTAGTGGATCTTCGTGTTGAAAATCAACAAGTAAACTTACAAATCTGTGATTCTGGGGGCTCTGTAAGTTCGTGTTGTTTTATCTTTTGAATTCCTGATGCATTTATATCTTATTGTTTCTTTAATAATGCTTCCCTTTATAATCTCCATTATTAAGTCTTCCTCATTTCGGCCTTTTTATTTTATAAAATCACTTTTGAATTCACATATTTAGCTATTTATCTCCAATCATTTAGTACTATCCAGTTTTTCTTGGTCCGATATGTTTGTAATAGCTAATTAATATTGTTGTTGCCAATGGATAAGTATATTCATTTTGGAATACGAATTAAGGTTTTTACTTCTCTATTTTAAGTCAATTATTACGTAATAAGTGTTTAATGCTCACTTTTCATTTTTTCGTGGGAAGCCGCCGTTAGTTGCTCCACCTTCCCAGACAACTTTTAGTTTTTCAAACAGCCTGACTATTTGACATATCTTGCTCTGGCATGTATGAAAATGCACACCCTGCGAGAAGAAAAAGAAAGGAACTTGATTTCATTAGCGCAAAAATTCATACCATTTTTCAATGACTTTTTAGAGATGCAGTGCATACTCTAATGCCTATGCCAGCATCAGCAGCAAGTTCTTAAGGGTTTCTGTACACTTTTTTTCTGTTTCTGTGTTAATTCAGTTCCGTGTAGTCGCATAATCATTTTGCGTTTTTATTGTAAATAAATCAGTTTCTACGGTTAAACTTGAAACTTGCAGCACAATGGAGTTTCTGAAGTAGGCACGTGCTTTATTTGAGAAACATGTTTTACAGTACCAATTCAGATTAAGGTTAACTTTTATTTGAAACACCACTGTTTCCTCATTTCGGAATTGTTTTTTACTAACAAAAGTATTTTCCATTTACGATCATTTATTGTTATCTCCAAGTTGATTACTTATCATTGGATGTTTTTCGATTGAATCCATGGCCAGTTTGGCTAAAATAGTAATTCTTTCAGCTCTTATGTGTGAATCTGGGCTAATTAACGTTTTGGTATCCTACTCATTCTAAATCATTGAATTTTGATGCCTTTTTGAGCCTCTATGTTACACCTTTTTTGCAAATACTTCCGGCCTTTTTGTATAAGTGTCTTTGTAATGTTAAAAGGAACAATTGAGATTAAAGTCTAACAGATGTAATATCCTATGCTCTTCTTCCTTTTTGCCTACTTTTTTCCTGTTTTGCAAGTATGACTGAAGGTAAAATGGCGGACCTTTCGTACAATTCAGTTGATGACTTTTGTTCAGCCATAACCACTTAATATGCGTCAATTATTGTAAAGTATTCCTTTCTTACGGTGTTTGGGATTGAGGAATTTGAATCGGTCAAATTTACTCAAAATTTTCTTGAAGACTAAATCAAAATTTTTCACTTGTGTGTAGGTTTTCAGGTATTTTCGTCAATATCTTTTTCATAATTTAGTTGATTTTACCTGCAATCTCGAGGGCTGGTTGGTGACGGCATTTCCGTCCACATTGTGGGTAATTTGACTGTAATTCCAAAGGTGCAATAACATAGAAATACAAGGAAGCTTTTTTGTCTACTATTACACTTTTTAATTGCGATCGTTTTTGTTACTTTCTATGGATTTCCCCCCTTTCCTTTAAATTTTCTTTGCATGAGGAAAGCAAGGCACTTTTCAGGTTATCGTCTTTCATAGCACAGCTCGTTCACATGCTGTGCTCCAAAGCCACTGAAGTGGAGTGTTTTCAAATGGCCTAACGAAACCTCTCGGATGAGGAATTGACCATCAGTTATCTCTTGATCATCCACTGACCAGCATGTTTGACCAACCCGCTTTGAGGTGTTGAAAGATTTTATTCATATTATACCGTTTTTCTTTATCTTTGATTAAAGGTTTCCAATTTCTTTCCTTTTTGCAAGTGTTGCTCCATTAATTCCATTAATTACATTTTTATTTTATTTCGAAAGGCCTCATGATACAATTTTATTTTTTCGTTATTAGTTTTTTCCCACTTTAAAGCCCATTTTTTCTGCCTGGTTGATTAGTAATTAAGGCTTGTTGTTTCGTAGTATTTCTAGGGCTAAGTCACACGAACCTACTGTCTTTGATGATTTAGCAAAGTCGGATCCAATTTCTCGATAAGGAGAATTACGATGGCTTAGGTTCTCCATAATATTTCGCACATAGATTGACTTTTTATATCAAATATGAATGTCCTACTCTCTTTTACAATTGAGGTGGCTTGGCAGTCAATATTTACCTATTAAGTCGGAGACCACGAGGCGTGCTCCTTGGTACGCATTCAGTGATGTGGTTGGCTAACAACACTGATTACGTGCTTTGAACACGAAAGGTGGTAGAATCGGAATTTCTCACCAGTCACTTGAGATAACTGTTGTTTCACGTGACGTGTTCTGAACCCTTATAGTGTGTTTAGGAAGTATGCATATTCAATTAATGTGAATTCCAAAATGTCTGATGTATATTATTATATCACGAATTCAATTGCCAGTAAGCGCATTTATTTTGTTAGGGGTCTCTATTTCGATAACTATTGGTGCAAATTTAGTAAATGCTTTTATTAACCGTATTTTTTAAAGCCTTTGAAGTGGGAAATCGCAGCAACTAAACGGAGAAACTTCTGATTGCAATCATTCCATCCAGCACGAGGATTGGGAAACTCATTGGTTTAACTCTCTTGAAATTATCTCACATAAGGAAAACCTAAACCTTTTTTCTATTTACAATTCTCCATTCACTTGTAATTATGGAATGTTTCATTGCCGAATCTTTGCTATTGGTGAAAAATTATTGGCTGTGATTGCCTCTCCTTAACGAATGAAAATTATAGGAATCTGGCTGCACTTCAAGTGATATTGGTAAGGTAAACTAAAGTACCGTGGAAATCTTATTCCTCTGTGTCCAGCTATTACTTCGAGATGTGCTGGTGTAGAGGCATACTTGATCTGATGTCAAAGTGAGTTTGAAAAAAAACTTAATGGCAACCTTAACACGTCGTAAATACATGAAGTGGTGATTTAACTTTTTAGTCTCATTGAAGTAATATGGTCTAAGTACTTTTTCAACAATCTTTACTTGTTTCATCCTTTCCAAAAGTTTTAACAATGATAGGGTTTGTACCACTATGTATTGTGTTGTGAAAAAAGCGGTGCAACTCTAATGCCTCATTAATACAAGATTTTGAGTTTTAATCTTGAGAAGTGAATGAAATTAACCAACAGATAAAGGGTATTGATTAAAGTGGACACTGGGAACATGATCATGGTATTAGTGAGTATTCATTTGACTTTTGGATTTAGGTGTTCCAAACTTTAGGTTTCAGGAATCGTCTTCTAGATTGCAGCGAATGTTTATTCACAATATCCTGTGCTTGTTGATCGCTTTTTAACTACGATTTTCAGTCTTCATTTTGTCTTACGTTGACTGAGAAGGCTAGATTATCCTTCGTGGATTTCATTCCACCATTTCTCAAATACATATCACTTGGGTTCGAATTGATGTCTTTCTATAAATTTTAATTAAACATCTAATTTAAATCGTTCTAGTCTTTCCCATGCACTTTTTATTTTATGTGAACTTTTGACCTTGAACTTGTTGGACTGTTATGGGCCTTTCATTATTTTTTTTGTACTAGAGAAGCTGATATTGATGGTTCGAAGTGTTTTGTTTTTCTTTTTTTTTCAGACGCTCTTCAAAGTAGTCGTTATTTTTAAATGCATTACTGACCTATTGATTTTCTAGGAAAAATGAAAAGATGAATTATTCACGAGTATTCATAGTTGAGTTTTGGATTAGAATCTCGTGTGACTATTCGTGACGTCTTAGTCTTCCGTTTGAACATGCACTTCTGTAATACTCATTCGCTATCATTTCATTCTATCGGATTGTTTCAGAATTTCTTTGTATGTCCAGAAATGGATGCCTTCTTGAAAATTTGGAATCTGGATTGCCTCTTATTTTATAATTGCCTTTAGCAAGTTAATAAAGCGTATTGGAGTTTCTTCATTTCTATCTTCTTTCTCGTTTTTCTATTATTCTTATACTAATTTAATGAACGTTTTTTCTGTAATCTGAACCGCCAAATTATCCTTAAAGACAATGTTTTTTGCAGAGATTTATATTCTTCACTTGTCCTGGTTCTTATCCATCTTTTGTGTATATTCGCGAAACAATTCTCTATCTGACGCCTTTGTAGCGCATGTAAAGGGGATCAAACCAGTTTTTTTGTCGATAATGATCCCATCTAGTGCACATTTTTGTGCAGAAAAGTATAATTCACATCCTCGTTTTTCTCCTTGGCAGTGCATACCGGAAACCACAGGTGTGCGACTTTGTATGTGTGTGTGTGTGTGTGTGTGTGTGTGTGTAATTTGTTTGATTCTCTTTGGGTGTGCATATTCTCTTCGTATTCCAAAGTATTCACGCACACTGACCTTTGCATCCATTTCTCTAAAATCAGCTCAGTGTTTGTTAAGTTGAGTTTTAAAGTTAGTTCCAATTTTATAGCGCTATTTTTACCTGAAAGTGTTTCGCGAAAATGGTCATTTGGTTTATTTATAACAGCCGCATTGTTGTCGGCAATTGAGTCAGATTTTAATCCTCTCGATGAAAGTGTTTAAACTTGCTCTTTGGTATGTCAATGCATACTTGTGGTGCGGTGACCAATCGCCCTGTTATTCCTGGTCATCAAGAGGAATAGTGATATGTGCCCCGTGATGTCTTCTTTCTACCCATGCTAAGTGGCCTGATGAAAATTTCTTCTTTTGGGTCTTTGGAAGTTACATATGAATGTTTAATTGGGAAAAACTAGAGAGAAGCTTAATGGAATGATATAAGTAATTTTTACCTTCAGCCTGGCGTCCGTTCCCTCCGTGAGTTAGCCTATCCTGACGTTCACGTAGTGATCTTCTGCTTTTCCGTTGTCCAACCCGAAACTCTCTGGGCGTTGCGTGATCGTTGGCTCCCCGAGCTAGCCTCCTCCGGTCTCAACCTCAATCCCACAGCGCTAGAGACAGCTGTTCGAATCGGTTGTCTACCCCATCAACCCCCCAACACACTCCGAAAGCCCGGCCCTGCTTTCATTCTTGTCGGGTGCGCTTGTGATCTACGAAACGATATCAAAAGTCTTCTTGATCTTTCGGCAAGGAATGAACTTCCAGTGAATGATGCGGTAGCTCAGAAGTTGGCTGTTGAATTTGGTGCTGAGGCATACATCGAGTGCTCGGCGCTTACTCAGAAACAGCTGAAAAAGGTGTGGTTTTTTGTTTTGAATAAACGACTTCATCATTTGCAATAACTGCTGTAGCTCATGTATGCAGACTTTGTCAGTATATTTAGTAGAAGGAGGTAGTGGAACTGGAATATTTTGATCCTTGATTGACAAAGTCGAGTAGTTATTGGGTCCTTTTGTCATTAAGGAAGGTTTTTGACTTGAAACTTCAATTATTGCGACTATTCTTGAATGAAGTTCTAGATTTATGCCTGTGTTCGTTATTACGTGTTCTAATTACCATTCATGGCCTATAAAAGCACAAGTGCTAGTCCATCCTTTCATAGCCCATGCTAATGATCAAGTTCATAATGCCAGGCGTAGATTCTGTCTCATTTTCAATCAATCAGACGAATCCAGTTACTCCATCGTCGTCTAATTTAAGTCATTTAGGGTTGGCAATCGCTTGCTTCTGAATTAGCGGTTGACAGCTAGTACTGTGGCCATCAAGTGTATTAGTAGGTAGACTTATAAGTAGAGCCGGTGATTAATTTTGAAAAATTTCCTTGTCCATTTGGGGAAGCCTTTAACAACCTAATAAGGAAGCCGTATTCTACCGACCATTTTGTTGAAAAAGGTTATCCACCGCGGTTAGACTCTCGTGTTACTCAACATAGATCAATAAATAGCACTCTCCCAACGCCGAACTCGGTATGCGTGCTCCAAGCCATTTTATCCTCTTATTCTCTCCCATTTTCCAGGTATTTGATCTCGCAGTATGGTACGGTCTTCAAGCCAAACAGGCAATGCAGAACTCCACGAATGTAAATGCTCTATCACCTGGGCTCAATGGACGAAACTCTTCCTTTACCAGTTCTTCACGAAAGTCTAAGCGCCGGCGAGAAAATAGCAGTCTACAAGCAACTGATCGACAACAAGGCGTCATAACGAATAACGGTGGTTTGTCTGGTTCACAACGATCCATATGGAAGAAGTTGCTATGTCTTCGGTGAAAGACTCCCATCCTCTATGAGTACTCTATATTGCAGTGCAATACTTCCGATCTCGCAATACTCCCCTCATTCCTCAAATCTCTCCTGTTGAATATCACTGTCCCCTTCTTTGCACGCTTTCCTACCCCCCCCCCCCCCCCCCNCCCCCATTCCTTCCTCTATATTTCTTTCGAACCGTTTTGGTATATATTTAAAGGCCTCTTTCTTGCGTTTGTAAATGCACAACAAGTCGTGTTAAGCGGTATCAATAGTACAGTTATTTTTGTATGAAGTGGTCTTCATTTTTTTGGAGACCGGATAATGGGTGTCAGAGCGTTATGTTATCGCTTTTTAATATTATTTTTGTTCTTAGGGAGTAATGAAAATGGTGTCTTTGTTGTTGAGTGCTACAGTATCCATTCTTGCTGCGGTGGTGAAATCTTGCCCCTTTAATTCTAGCATAGAATGAAAATGCTAAGTGCGCCTACGATTACAAGATTTTTTTCATTTTTTCAACTGGAAATATGCAAAATCCTTTGTTGGCGCCATCTATTCGATCACAAAACTACCATTCCTTTCGGTAACTGAAATGGAAATATGGCTTGATAGGCTTCAAATAACCTGTTCGATTTCTTTACAATCAAGGGTTTTGTCGACAATCCGGGGCACCACAAATTACTACCCACTCATAATGTTTAAAGCTGACTAAACGCTTATTCAAACTTTAAGCCCCTTGTTCTTTTTTGCGTTTAATTAACCCTCTAGTCGATCAAGTATGGTCATTAAAATTGCATAATACTTTCTTACGTAATGGCAATTTCGAGTATTCGCCGAATTTGAATTCGGAATAAACAGATTGCCAATCAACTAACTATATGAAGTGGCAATGGTTAATCATCATATCAAAAATATCCATCTTATGTCATAGCATATAAGTAAAAGGCTGCTCATATATGCTTCCCTGGACATAATAGATATCTGAAAGCATTCTATCCGCAAATAACAAGTTTTAATTACTGAGATGGTGGTGACACGGGTGTAAAGCACTGCCAAGGCTGGTATGGATGAAGTACATGCGCACAAAAGCGTACAAAAATGTTGCCCAACGTAGCGTAACGCTGACTGTATTTAATGACTAAACATGTTAGCAGTTGCATGCAATCATTTCCAACCGACTCCCATCATTCTACACCCCCCCCCATGTTTGCACTACTTGTTACGTCCCTAGCCAAGTTCGAGAGCATATTCTGTACTAGAGGACACTGTGAGTTGTACTTGCTTGTAGCCAGTAGGACTTCTAAGAGGATTACCAAGGTTAAGAAAAGTACTTATTTGCATAGTATATCTGTGTGTGCGTTAGTAACCTAGCAAAGAACTTTGTAAAAAATCCGTTTGTCATGTATTAAATCTGTTCTGACTACGTGGGGTATTGCGTTAAGAGTCATCATTTAAATAGTCATGCTCGAGACTCTTATATACTCCAAGCACAATATTTAAATAACTATTATCAAATGCTAGGCCCCATGATAGTTATGATTAGCCCTCTAGTTGACTTCGGGCTTCAATGGGCGGGGGAGGAACATCAAAGGGAGAAAAAGTCGAGAGGGGAACAGAAAAAGTTAGTAATAAATGTTAAAAGAACAGACACAAAGGTAGAGAGTAGGGTAAGGTGAGTACTGTGAAAGTGGTGGAATATGACAGAGTGGGGTTGTGGTAGTTTGAAGTCAGAAGTCAACTGCCTTTTTATGGACTTTTTGGTGTATGAGTATAGATTGCCCAGGTTGCTCCACTTGGAGGTAAGTCTGTCGCCCACCTCCATGTACAATAGGTGTACGTGAGTTTCTATAATAGCTTTAGTGGTTTGAAACTCACTGACAGAAAGGCGATAACCATGGTTGAATGTAGCACAGTCCATTAAATCACATTATGCACTAGTGTCCATATTGTCTATTCCTGGTAGGGTTGCACCGGAATACGCAGTAAATGAGGTTGTTGTTAACTGTCATAATCTAATTAGTCATACGGTTAACCACAAATCTCAAATTCAAAAATAATATGGGGTTAGGCAAAGTTTGGTAACACAGCATGTATATTTAGTAATAAATTTTCGATTTACTTATCATAAGATACAAATTCTTTACTTTTACCCAACACATTCCAACTAAAGTTGTTGGCTCACAGATTCAAAGCAACAGGAAGACCAATGATTGCGCTGATTGGTATCTGAAGTTTCGAGATTCTTCGGTGGAATAAAATAATCTCCATTACAATCGTTTTCAGTTTGGAGGTTGAGGCTGGGTACTGGGATCGGAGATTTTTGCGCTGGTCAACCACGATTTTGACACCAATATGAGGCATGGTCTCGATGTGTAGGGAATTAATAAAGCCGCCCAACGATTTCGAAGCTGGTTTTCGCATTTTTACTAGATGGCTTATCCTGACCATTGAGATCAAGTAAATTGAGGAAAGGGAAGATGCTGAGACCACAAAAAATTTCTTCCAATCGAGTAGAAGCGGCTTTGGTATCAGTCATGAGTGGTGAATACCAGACTGTGGCTGCTTATTGACGAATGCAGATTTGATAGACGTAATGGATGCCAAGTCGAGGCACTTTGAATATGAATCTAGTAGGAAAAGAAGAGAGATTCACTGAATATGTCCAATAAGGCATATTAATATTACTTTAAAGCACATCAAGACTCTTCGGATAAAATGAGTTTAAGCGGTTGTTCAATCTCATTTGCATTTTGGGCAATCTCTTTGGGTACTGTTCAGGGTGAACAAGAAATCAGTCAAGAAAGGACAACTTCTTTGAGTTTAGCTAACCTTTGTCATCTACCAATTGTTATCACAAAGGACGCCAAACTGACCAGGGTTGCTATTACACTCGATCTTGGTAGACGAGGGGTGTGCGATAGATTTACCTCCACGTGGTGCACCCTGGGCAACGTATAATCATACGGCAAAAAAGTCTATTAACCGGCATTTGACTTCGGACTTCAAACTACCACCACCCCACTGTATGTCATATTCGACCCCTTTCACAGCACTCACCTTACCTTTTTCTCCACCTTTCTGTCTGTCTGCCTCTTTTACATCTGTGATTCGCTCTTCTATTCACCGCCCCTCGACTTTCTGCTACTTTGATGTTCCTCCTCCTCCCTGTGAAGCCCGAAGTCAGCTAAATGGCTAATGATATCTTTCAAAACGCCTGCCATTTGAAATAAATAAATCTTGGTAGACGATTTATGAGTTCTGGGGAGGCAAACTCTTTCTTTTGTTCCTATGGGTGGCATATCTGGTTTGTATGGTGATTAAAAATGGAGGATATCTAGGATAATTGTTAGGCAAGCAAAGTAAGCTCAGAGACAGATCGAGCTGATATAACATCAGACGAGGAAGATTCCATTGAGTGCTTAAGATTTATTAATTTTACGCTGTCTCAGACTGATGGACGCAACCACATTTCAACACTGACCTTTGAGGGGTGTGCGATAGACCTACCTCCAAGTGGGGCACCCTGGGCAATGTATACGAATACGGCAAATAGGTCTATTAACCGTCAGTTGACTTCTGACTTCAAACTCCATGTCATATTCGATCATTTTCACAATACTCACCTCACCTTTTTTCTTCCTTCGTGTCTCTCTCTTTTACATCTTTGAAACGTTCTTCTGTCCCTCCCCCCCCCGCGACTTTTTCATTTTGATGTTCCATCCTTTGAAGTCAACCAAAGGGCTAATGATAACTATCAAAACGCCCGCCATTTGATATAAATACATTGACCTTTGAAATCAGAGTGATAATAATGCAACATGAGATTCAGAAAAATCCTTGGTAGAAGTATCAGAAACACTACTTGCAGAAGTGGTAGAAGGACCTTTACTTCTACGGCAATGGTCTTAAACATATGGTGAAGCATTGAGTAACCGGAAGACTTTCCTTGCATTTGATTACCCTTGAATTTCTTCATATTGCAATGCAGTTCACGTGTAGTTCTTCGTCCTTCAAGTTGTTTGATCTTTCTTTTCTCAAAACCGAATTAAATTGTTTTGCGCGTGGGCTTCGTTTATATAATTGACAAATGAGACTAAACAACTCACTATGGTAAGGTTGAATGCCATTGTGCTAGGAAGCTGTCTAAGGCAACTGATGAGGAAGGGTACTGATTTCACATTAAGCCCACATTTATCTCTACAGACCTTGGAATATAAATTATTGTGTCGAGCGTATGTAATTAAATCAAACTCATTTCTTAGAGTGGTTTGGTGGTTGGGGGGTTAAACTTCAAATTAAACTAATCTATTGGTTACTTTAATCGATTTCACTGATTTCGGAATACATACATACCACTAATTGCTCATTCGAACTTCTAAAGCTGGTAAACAAGAATCAGTGTCTTTTTGAACTCCTTTCTTCTTTGCAATATTTTGACAAGCGCTTTCCAAAATGATATAAACTTCTCTAAACTTGACCGGTTTAATTCAGTCCTTTGCGATTTGTGTATTAGCACAATAATTGTGAGATAATACCTAGTCTTCCACCTGTGGAGTATGCAACGCTGTCATGGCTGAACAAAGAAAACTTAGGCGCACTCAGAGAGACACGAAGGTGCGGCAGTGCTAATTGTCGCTTAGGGAGCAAGTGCCGTCGTGAGTACAGAGACCTCTCAGCCATCCACCAATAAATGGTCCTTATATCGTTTAACCCCCCCCCCCCCCCCCCACACGTATCATAATCGTTAACCTCCGTGATAGTAGCACACAGCCCAAATAAATGTATTCCACGTTATGCGTCTGGTTCCTGAATAGCTATGCGGTAGTTCAGCTAATCCTGGAAACCATTCCAAACTCGGGCATCTTGTCATAGAGATTAACGAGCGCAAGTCAAGCTTATTAGTGTAACAATCTGCTCACACCAAGTCAAGTCAAGCATAACAGCATAGGTCATTATGGAAATTGTATAATTATCAAAATTTTAAAGATATCTGTTTTTTCCTTATTTTCTATTAATTTAGTCAG